CTGGCTGTGGACACTCTACAGAAGGAGGGGGACCAGTAGAAGGCGGAAGACCAAGAACCTGCTGCAAAAGTGGAACGAAGTACGGTCGAGGCCGCGCGGCGACGCCAGACACAGCAGGTACAACACCAGCACCCCCAGCAGGAGCACCCGCTCCAGCTGCACCACTAGCAGCGCCAGATGCTCCAGCAGGACAAGGAGTACCCGCAGCAGGACCGCCAGCAGTAGTCTCAGCTCCAACACCCTCAGCAGCACCAGCTCCAGTCGAACCCGCAGGCCTAGCAGCTCCAGTACTCCCAGTACGAGCACCTCCGGGACCCGCGACAGCAGCACCCTCAGTAGCCGAAGAACCTCCAGCACCAGCAGCACGCCTCCAGCGCCGGGCAAACCACTCGCGCAGCTCCCGTGGAGAGAGTGGCTCCCGCAGAGACGAAGCACCCGGAGAACCTCCAGGCGGAGCACCTCCAAGCTCAGCACCCCCAGGCCCATCACCCCCAAGCTCAGCACCCCCAGGCTCAGCACCCCCAGGCGCAGCACCCCCAGACTCAGCACCCCCTGGCGCAGCACCCCTAGTCTCAGTACACCCAGGCTCAGCACCCCCAGGCTCAGCACCCCCAGTCGCAGCACCCCCAGGCTCAGCACCCCCAGGCTGAGCACCCCCACAGTCAGCACCCCCAGGCTCAGCACCCTCAGCAGCATCAGGGTCACCAGTGACCTTGACAGGCTCGACTGCGTCTACCAGGGACACACCTGAAGGGGACGGACTGTGAGGGGGGAGGGAGTCTACCGGAGGGGGACCTGGTACAAGGAAGAGCGGCGGCGGGGGGAGGGACGGAGTGCGGTAGGGAAAGAGGCGGTAGTAGGGGACCGACTCGTCAAACGTGACGTCCTGGGAGGACAGAACACGTCGAGAGGTGGGGTGGTAGAACTGCCACCCAGGCGCGTCAGGGGGGAACCCCAGGAAGACGCAAGGAGCAGCACGATGGTACAGCTTGTCCGCAGACAAGTCCCGGACAAACGCCCGAGATCCCCAGACCCGGAACGCCGACGCATCGCCAACCTTCCCCGTCCACAGCAAGGCTGGGGAGGTCTCCGGCATGGAGACCCTGGGGTGTAGGTTGATCTGATGCGCCGCGTACCTCACCGCAAACGGCCACAGAAAATGGGGAGCACCCACATGCATCATAGACGTACGAGCGACGTCCACGACCATGCCAATGCGGCGCTCAGCAATCCCATTTCGCTGCGGGGAGTCCGGAAGCGTGAAGGTCTGACGGATTCCTCGTGCGCGACAGTAGGCTCTCAGAAGGCCAGACGAAAACTCTCCGCCTTTGTCCGAGTGCAGACGCAGAACAGGAATGTCCGAGCCAAAGCTCTGCCTGAGCGGGAGACGAGCTGCGCGGATCCAGTCGATCAGCACCTCAGTGATATCACCCTTGTTGCGCAGGGGGAAGACTGCGGTGTAACGCGAGTAGTCGTCAACAACGAGCAGGAAGTAGCGCTCGTGACCCTGTCCACGGACGCGGGCGGGGCCCCACACGTCCATGTGAAGCGTCTGCAACGGGGCCTCTGTTGGAGGAAACTGGGAGGAGTGAGGGGCAGCCCGCTGGCGCCCCTCAACACAGGGGACACAGGTAGGGCCAGGGCCCTGAGGAAGGGGAGGGAGAAACCGAGGGAGACCAGAAACAAGAAGACGGGAGGCCATGCCTCTGAGCCGAAGCAGAGAGGGGTGACCAAGGCGGTGGTGCCAGAGGAGAGTCTCGTGAGACAGGAGACGACACGAATAGGGGGCAGACTCAGGACCAGACCTGGACGCTGCAGCAAACACCTGACCCGACGCACTGACCCTACGAGACTCAACAACTGGAGGAGACGCAGTGGTCAGTGTGTACAGGCTCGACCCCGGCCGACGGGTAAACGTAGCCAGGTGTCGGCCTGTGCTAGCCTCTGTGTAGTGGGTCACCCGCTGACGCGCAGGAGTGAATTGGTGTACTCCCCCATCCTGTAGGTCAGCACCACTCACCAGGTTCGTAGAGAACGAGAGGAGGTAGAGACCAGATAGGGTGCCAGAGGGAGCCGCCGGACACGGGAGGACCGTAGAGAAGTGAGACAGGACAGGACCCCCAGAGGGGTCAGCCAGAGACACCGCAACCGGCCGACTAAGCGGCGTGAGTGTGGTGCGGTCCCGAAAGAAGGAGCGAGAAGCCTCAGAGTCAAGGGTGAAGGTGAGGGAGGCCGAAGCCGACGTAGTACCTGAGAGAGCAGACTCACCAGTACCTGAGGACGCAAACGCACTAACACCTAGAGCAGCAGCGTCGCAAGCACCTAGGGCAGCCGCCTCACCAGTACCTAGAGCAGCAGTCTCAATGCCCGGATCGGGCGGGAAACACCGGTAACAGTCACCCTCATCACTAATAGACACAGCATACATGGCGGAAAGAATAGCATCAAAATCAAGATCATAGATGGCAACACCCGCCCTAGACAGCTCGCCCCAGCGAGGGATCTCGGAGGCCTTTTGTACTGAATAAAGTGCGCGCGCTCGGAGGTAGGCAGGTGGCGACGCACAGCAAGACGTGCAACAGCATCGCGCGTGGCCCACTGGGAGCGAACAGTGGCGTCAGCGTCAGCAGCAGGGGCAGGGGAGGCGACAGAGGTGAGGTCAAAGAGGGAGAGACCGTCTGCCCTATCGCACTGTAGGAAAAGCTGCAGGTCATCTACCCAGACCTCAAAGTCAATGGCCCGACCCTCAGCGTCAAAAGCGAGAACACTGGGGGTAGCCATGACAGCAGTAGACTAGCAGCACTAACTGTAGGACAGGGGCAGTGTAGTGACAGAAGCGCTGCTCTCACCAGACAGGGCGGTTCGGGCAGCTCAGCGGCACAGCAGCTCGGCAACACGGCGGCTCGGGCGGCTCGGGTGGCTCGGGCGGCTCGGGCGGCTCGGGCGGCTTGGGCGGCTCGGGCGTCTCGGGCGGCTCGGGCGTAACGGGCGGCTTGGTGACGTAGGGCGGTAGGGCCGCTGGTAGGGCGGTAGGGCCGCTGGGAGGGCGGCGGGGCCGCGAGGTAGGTGGCGGGGCCGCAGCGGGAGGGGCGGCGGGGCTGAAGCGAGGGGCGGCGAGGCCGCAAGGTAGGCGGCGGGGCCGCAACGGGAGGGTTGGCGGGGCCGCAGCGAGAGGGGCGGCGGGGCCGCAGCAAAGGGCGGCGGGGCCGCAAGGTAGGCGGCGGGGTCGCAGCGAGAGAGGCGGCGGGGCCACAGAGAAGGGCGGCGGGGCCGCAGAGAAGGGCGGCGGGGCCGCAGCGAAGGGCGGCGGGGCCGCAGCGAAGGGCGGCGGGGCCGCAGCAAAGGGCGGCGGGGCCGCAGTGAAGGGCAGCGAGGCCGCAGCAAAGGGCAGCGGGGCCGCAGCGAAGGGTAGCGGGGCCGGGACAGGGCGGCGCCTGGGCCGTAGGGCTAGGCGACGGGGCCGTAGGGCTAGGCGACGGGGCCGCTTGGGCGATGGGGCCGCCAGGGCGACGGGGCCGCTAGGGCGGCGCGACGCAGTCGCTAGAGTGGCTCGACGAGATGAGAGAGAGGAGCGCGACTCGGGCTGAGCGCGCTCCGGGCAGAAAAAAAAAAAAATCGACTTGGTGGGCCCTAGGCACAGTTCCCACTAGGGAACCTGCTCGATACCATGAGAAAACTGAAACGAGAATGAATGAACTATGAATGAATTGAGTACAAGTACTAACCCTAATTGGGTTGTACCCCTTATGGGCTACCCCACTATAGCCTACACAATAAGCACAAGCTATATGTTCTGACAGTGTTGTCACAAGGTCACGCGTGCGCAGGTAAACGACATGTCTTGTATTCTGCAGCACACACAGATGGCGTTGCAATACTCGCGTGTTTCACCGCTGAGTGTCTAGTCTCCGTGCACTGACGAAACCCACTCATATACATGTGCAGCAGCATAACGGAATCCGTCGCTGCTAAGGGATATCTCAGATTTGGGATGCGCTAGTTTGCAGTACAAAGGTCACTGCAAGTGTCGACTGAGCCGCTGCTGTCGCAGTAACAGGCATCATGCCTCTATGGTCACAGCATGCTGAGACAATTCTGTCACGATAGGTGTCAGCACTGCAGCAACTGTCACATCCATTGTTGTCACCTGTGATTCATCACACAGCACGTGGTCAATGCTGTTCCTCACAGAACATGTGGTGGTGGTAGCCACTCACGCCACAGCACATGGTCACCGCTTCTCACAAAAGAGCATGTAATCACTGCTGCTCATGTCATAGCCTTGTGGTAACTCCACCGTACAGACACGAAGGGCATGTGGTCACTCCTACTCATGCTATAGCACGGAAGTTACTTTTGCTCTTGTCAAAACATGTGGTGGTTCTTCTCAAGACAACGCATGTGATCACTGCCGGGCGTCTCACAGCATGTGGGTGTCATGTCACTGCTAATGCCACATCGTCTGAGGGATTGCATGCCTCACTCATGCCGCGGGCACCGCGTCACTTGGTGCCGCTACCAGTTCAACTCCCCCACTTTCGTCCCTTTTCCAGCGATACCGCAGGACGCATTGCTGCAGTTGTTTCACAGGACTTGTCTGTCATCCATCCAAAAGGCTGCCACGGGAAAAACAGTACATCGCACACCCGCCTGTGCAGGTCAGTTGCTGCAAAGCCATCCAGCACTAGTTGCTGATGCGTTCACACAGTCTTGGTTTGCCAACCAGCCATTACTGGTTCTCCCCGTGCATAGCGGTACGCGGCTCTGCTGGCATAGCGCAACGCTGTTAGTCACACGTCCCTTTCTGGTACCTCCGGTTCAGCAATGAGAGGTGCCTTGGCTGATTAGTTGTCTTTCACCCCCCCCTGAATTAGATGAAAATCTCACCCGGGTGCTGCAAATGTCACATCTACTGTCGTCTCTTCCAATTTTACACAGCACGCATTCTCACCCTTGCAACAACGGAAATAAGGGGGGTTGACTGCTGCCCCTGTCACCGCATGAACGTGTCCTTGCTTCCCCATGTCCCCTTCCTTGCTTCCTCGCATCCCCTTTTCTGCTTCCCCCCTTCCCCTTCCCTGCTTTCTCTCATCCCCTTCCATGCTTCCCCCCTTCCCCTTCCCTGCTTCCTCCCATCCCCTTCCCTTCTTCCCCCAATCCCTTTCCCCGATTCTCCATGGCCCGTTCCCTGCTTCCCCCCATCCCCTTCCCTGCTTTCCCCCATCCCCTTCCCTGCTTCCCCCCATCCCCTACTCTGCTTACCCCCGTCCCCTACCCTGCTTCCTCATGGATCCTTCCCTGCTTCCCCTTGTCCCCTTCCCTGCTTCCCTCCATCCCCTTCCCTGCGCATCCCCATCCCCTACTCTGCTTCCCCATGTCCCATTCCCTGCTCCCCCATGTCCCCTTCCTTGCTTCCCCCCATCCCATTCTGTGCTTTCCCCCATCCCCTTTCCTGCGTCCCCCCCTCCCCTACTCTGCTTCCCCATGTCCCCTTCCCTGCTTCCCCATGTCCCCTTCCTTGCTTTCCCCCATCCCATTCCCTGCTTCCCCCCATCCCCTTCCCTGCTTCCCCCCATCCCCTTCCCTGCTTCCCCATGTCCCCTTCCCTGATTCCCCATGTCCCCTTCCCTGCTTCCCCTCATCCCCTTCTGTGCTTCTCCCCATCCCCTCCCTCACTTTCCCCCATCCCATTCCTTGCTTCCCCACATCCCCTTCTCTGCTCCCCCCCATCCCCTTCTCTGCTTCCCCTCATCCCCTTCCCTGCTTCCGCCCATCCCCTTCCCTGCTTCCGCCCATCCCCTTCCCTGCTTCCCTGTGTCCCCTTCCATGCTTCCCCTTGTCCCCTTCCCTGCTTCCCCCTGTCCCCTTCCCTGCTTCCCCCCATCCCCTTCCCTGCTCCCCCCCATCCCCTTCCCTGCTGCCCCATGTCCCCTTCCCTGCTTCACCCCATTCCCTTTCCTGGTTCCCCCCATCCCCTTCCCTGCTTTCCCCCATCCCCTTCCCTGCTTCCCCATGTCCCCTTCCCTGCTTCCCCATGTCCACTTCCCTGCTTCCCCATGTCCCTTCCTTGCTTCCCCATGTCCACTTCCCTGCTTCCCCATGTCCCCTTCCCTGCTTCCCCATGTCCCCTTCCCTGCTTCCCCATGTCCCCATCCCTCCTTCCCCCCATCCCCTACCCTTATTCCCCCCATCCCTTTACATGCTTCCCCCCATCCCCTTCCCTGCTTCCCCATGTCCCCTTCCTTGCTTCCCCATGTCCCCTTCCCTGCTTCCCCCCATTCCTTTTCTTTCTTCCCCCCATCACTTTACATGCTTCCCCCCATCCTCTTCTCTGCTTCGCCCCATCCCCTTCCATGCTTCCCCATGTCCCCTTCCTTGCTACCCCATGTCCATTTCCCTGCTTCCCCATGTCCCCTTCCCTGCTTCCCCATGCCCCCTTCCCTGCTTCCCCATGTCCCCTTCCCTGCTTTCGCCCACCCCCTTCCCTGCTTCGCCCCATCCTCTTCCCTGCTTCCCCTTGTCCCCTTCCCTTCTTCCCCCCATCCCCTTCCCTTCTCCCCCCCATCCCCTTCCTTGCTGCCCCATGTCCCCTTCCCTGCTTCACCCCATTCCCTTTCCTGGTTCCCCCTATCCCCTTCCCTGCTTCCCCATGTCCCTTTCCCTGCTTCCCCATGTCCCCTTCCCTGCTTCCGCCCACCCCCTTCCCTGCTTCCCCACATCCCCTTCCCTGCTTCCCCTTGTCCCCTTCCCTTCTTCCCCCCATCCCCTTCCCTGTTCCCCCCCATCCCCTTCCCTGCTTCCCCTTGTGCCCTTCCCTGCTTTCCCCCATCCCCTTCCCTGCTTCCCCATGTCCCCTTCCTTGCTTCCCCCCATCCCCTTCCCCGCTTGGCTTGTTCTTTATCTCCTTGCAGGCCGTGTTGCTTCAGTCGTTGCGCTTCTGAGTGTGGGAATCATCCATTTCACTGGGCAGCCACTAGAACAACAGCACATCGCAACAGTCCCTGGCAGGTCAGTTGTCGTCAATGTCTCCTGCTGCTGCCTTTGCAGATGAGCTCGTTCTCGTCCATCAATGTCTTACACTTGTATTACATCCTTTTCCCATGTTACAGCTTGTTGACAGGCCTTGTTGCTGCAGCCGTTGCACTGCTGAGTTTTGAAGACATCCATCCATCTGGGCGTCGTCAATAACACCAACACATCACACTGCTCTCTTGGCCGGTCAGTCCTCATCCAACCATTCATTTATGGTGCCTCATGCTCAGCAGCGCGCGGTCTTATGCCATTTGCACAGCAGTTGTTTCTCCAACACCCCTGTCTAGTATTGGGGGCACATCATCACATGGTCCCGCTGTCGGTGTGCAGGGTGCAGTGTGGGGGACCATGCCTCGCTGGTGCCGCAGCGTAAGCAGCACTTGGTGTTCTTGCGTTTGCATCTCACTTGGAACTCATTCCTTTCCCATTTTCCAGGTTCTGGCAAACGTCCAGCTGTCTTTGAATTTTACCTCTCTTTTATTCCTTCGTTATTTGCCAGTTATCCAAAGGACGTTTTGCTGTTGCACTACTGAATTTGTCTGTCATCCTTTCATCTGGGCGGCGGCGCAAACGGCAGCACATCACACTGCAACATTGGCAGGTCAGTGCTCATCTAATCATTGAACCATTCATTTCTGGTGCCCCCTGCTCAGCATTGCGAGGCGCTGAGTCATTTGCATGGTAGTTGTAACTCAAACATCCTGTCTGGTACTAGGGGCACATCACCACTTGTCCCCGTCAGCCGTGTTCTTGGGTGCTGTGCGGGTTTGCATGCCTCGCTGGGGCCGCAGGCATAGCAGCGCCTGGTGTCAAGTGCTGCCTTTGCGTTTCACTTGTCTTATATTCCGCCGCCCATGTTCCAGCTTGTTGACAGGACGTGTTGCTGCAGCCGTTGCACTGCTGGGTTCAGGGGACATTCATCCATCTAATCAGCCGCAGCCTTGGCAGGTTAGTTCTCATATAGCCCTCCCTGATTTGATTCATCCATCCCTGATTGTCATACATCCATCTGATTCTTGGCTCTGCCACCTTTGCAGTGCGCTTGTTTGGTAACCATTCAGATCAAGTGCCCCATTATCCGCAGCACTTGGGCCACCTGCCTTATCACTTCATATGTCATTTATCCCTCCCTGTTGGGCATCTAGATGCTCGCCATCAATAATTATGCCCTCCTACCCATCATCCCACGTGGGTATCTGTCTTACCCATCATGCGCGTGCATACCCTCTTGGTTGTGTAGTATTCCCGGTATGTCCAATGTGAGTAGATCGAGTGTACATCCAGCAGCGCAAACATGCAAGGATGCCACGAAGGGCAGCGCGAACATATCAAAGCATATGCGGCCTGTGTTGTGCGTGCTACGTGTGGGATTGTCCGCTTTGTTCGCTGGCGAGGCTATGGCGACACCCGACGACGTTATTCATTTCTTGGCAGAGGCAGCACCAGATGCGACGCTTCGACTCATTACAGCAGGACTAGCTGCAGGTAAGTTGAAGAATGGTTTGGTGTCAACACATATTAGTTGCATAGTTCATTTCAGTGAATACGGGTACTGTGTGCACCTTCATATGTCAACCCAAATGACACCCAGATCCCGAGTCAGAGGGCACGCAAACCGGCGCCATGGTCGACATGCACCGTCAAGAGTATAGTCGCATTTTCAGAGGGCACATGCACAGAGGCTACGAGAAGATTAGAGATCTACTGGGACGACTGAATCAAGTGCTGCCTGGCGTCAAGTTTTCCTTTCCGATTATGAAGCTTGATCTGTCAGAGGTCCACTGGTGATCCCCGATTGATCCTAGGGAAGGGTTACAGGCGCGTTTGCCTGGGGGGTTATGGGCGCACTGACCCGCTACTGAAACAAGCCCTTTTATCCCAATGGTCTAGTGGTTGGGATTCTCACATGGTATCAGAGCGGTCTCGGGTTCGATTCCCGGTGTATGCACTTCGGGCATCCCAGTGCGGGGGGGTGTCAGAGGTCCACTGGTGATCCCCGATTGATCCTAGGGAAGGGTTACAGGCGCGTTTGCCTGAGGGGTTATGGGCGCACTGACCCGCTACTGAAACAAGCCCTTTTATCCCAATGGTCTAGTGGTTGGGATTCTCACATGATCATCGCGGGAGACCTAAACCTGTGAAGGGCCTATCTTGGGGAGGAGCAAGGCGTGGAAATGCATTTTCCCTCCAACGCCAGGAAGGTAATGGGCTGCATGCATTTGAAAGACTCACCATCAGAAATATGCCCACGCACTGTGCGCATTCGGTCCTTCCTATTCCACTCCACAAGTTGTAGCTTATCCCATCGCTCTCGATATACTACAGGTGGTCTCGGGCTGAGGGCCGGCTCTGAGTCAGCAGACCGTGATGTGGTGGATGCTGTTACGGATTCTCCTAATCCAATGGCGCAGGACGGCGCCGACTGTCGAGCTGCCGATCGGGAGTGCATACAGTCTACCCCCGTCAACACACCGCTGTCAGCACCGACGCCAACGGCGATAACAGGCGCGCCAGAGGACATGTAAGCATCTACCATTTTTGAAGATGTGGTTGACGCGTTCCCCATTCCATGCTGATCAGCCCAACAAAGGATCTGCCATCCAACCTCATATGCGTTTGTTTTTTTTATGATTTGTGCACCACCTCTCGCCACGTGGTAGGCTACCGCGCACGATTGCGCGTGCAACAGTCCCTAGGCACTGGCCTACCTCACCAAATGTCGATGAGATTTCTGAACAACGGGTATGTCTCGTCGAACCGCGTACTCTTGTTGGATTCTTCAAGGGACGTCGGTTGGTGTGCTCGCATCAACAGACATGCGGAGGAGCTATGTCTTTAAGGTCAAGGAAATTTTCATGGGCATCAGTGGGCATGTTTTGGAGATGTGATGCGTGCTCTCACGGTGTGGAATTCTGGTCATGCACCAATCGAACCGTTGAGAAAAGAAGAGCTGGTGTCGGGGCACGCGTGCCTATGCTCCATTCCAAATTCGTAGGAGCATTTGTGCTTGCCGGGATGGGTTATCAACAGATGTGGGAGTTCAGCCGAAATTTTGGTATCCCATGTCCCGGAAAAGGCACTTTCTATAAGTATCTAGGGGATGATAATGGGTTGTGGAACACGATTCTTAGGGAGGCGGAGAAATCGATGACAGCGGTGCGAGAAGAGATGAAGAAACGAGACATTCCTCGGGAATGGGTAACGGTAGACGGTCGGTGGTCACATGTCCGAGAGGGCGAGTGGTGTACCGTGTCATGATGCTATTACGCGGAAGATACTGTACTGTGTGACAACAAGAAAAGGGGTTGATACGTCATCTGTGCGATTGGAGTGGGTTGCGTTCGACAAAGGAGTTGATGAGCTGGCGCTGTTGGGATTTGATGTGGAAGGAATCATTTCGGACCAAGGAACGACATTCAAAGGTGATGCAACAGAGCAGAAACTGAACCATCAGGTGGATTGGTGCCACGTGAAGAAAACGCTGTACAAGCTTTTCTGCAAAGAGCTTCAGGATGCCGTGCGGGTGCCGGTAGCCGTGGACAAGGCTAGTTGTTTTGAGGAGTTGTGGTTGGCTACGGTGGAAGGGCTACGGCAATGGTTGCAAAAACGGGGATTGGAGAAGGAGGCGAAGGCATCACTCAAATCGGTTTTTGTGAAATCGGTCTGCACAGCCATGGGCATCATTGCCTATGTGCACATGACACCCGATGAAGCAAAGTGGATGTTTCCGGAGCTGAGAAAGGTGCGACGAGTGGGGGGGGAACAGGGGGTTGTGCATGTCCCTGTGGCCTATGCTGAGGTGCAATCTGACCCAACAGGAGATAGGCGAACCACTGCGATCGATGAAGTGGTTGTTGAGGAGGAATTGGGCATTGCACAAGTTTACGTGCAGTGGCCGGATGTGGACCTTTGGAGTTACGATTTGCATCCAGTGCATGGCGCGCGACCCTCGTCTGTGGCTAGTGCATTCATCGTGCATGCACATGCAGGTGCAGGCGATGTCTCACGGTCAATTGGTGGGACGACTCTGTGGGCCAACGCTGACGAATTCACAGGTAAGAACGCTCATATAAGAGAAGTTTTAACTGCTCATGTTGTTTGGTTACTCAGAGATGTTTCCTTCCAATATTGTCGTTCACCAGGAGATGATGGCATGGGTGATTCTGACCCAACAGAGACGAACCCTGCAAGCGACAACGAGGGTGCAGTGCACGATGGTGATGCTGCAGGAAGCGGAATCGGACAGACTTTGCCTCGGTGGGTTGAGCGCCGGAAACGAAAACGGGGTGGAGATGAGGTGCATGCAGGCGATGAAGAGAGTACAGTGGCGCAATGCTTCGGCTCACATTTTTTCCATGTGATGATGCACGCCGGGAGGATGAAGGAAGCGGGCACCCCTAAGACCCCTGCTGATGTGTCGAGGGAGATTGGGACGGCGCCAAACCATTGAGCGGGTGACCATTCTGGGTATGGAAAATCTGGTGGTGTCCTGCCAAGGTGTGTTACTGAGAATTGGGGGAGGGAATGTGCTCTTTACGAGCCTGGGTCAGAAACACACAAGGCGGTACTTGCTTGGTTCGAGAAACAGTTATCCCCGGAAAAGGTGAAGTCTTTTGTTCACGGTGCCAACAGCTCTGTCAATGAGTCATTCCATTCTCTGATCCTCAAATACGCCCCTAAGCGTATTCGGTTCCATGATAGTCTTGTGCCGCGGGTGGCTCTCGCGGTCTTGCACTGGAATAACTCGATGGATAGATTGGTCACTTCCTATCACACACGAGTGTGGCAAGTGACGCGGGTGCGTCGGGGCAACAAGGATCGAACACTCGGACCCATGGATAGGTCGTGGATTGATCGGATCATGGCTGAGAGGCAACGATTGTTAGGGGACGGTGTCGATGACGATATTATTGAAGATGCATTAGGGGGGCAAGGATCTGAACAACGGTCCGCTGACATATCTGATGGCCACCCATCTGTATAGCAGCCCGCTACACCTGTGCGACGTAGTGGGAGGGGTCGCGATCGGTCATCGACGCATAAGGCTGCGCGCAGACTTCTAGGTGAGACTAGTTGCACATTTGCCACATATCACACCTTATCTCATCAACTAATGTTACAACTCAATTTGACCGACACTTTCTGTTTGTGCTAATGTTATAAGTGACGTCACCAACTATCCTCGGTAAACATCCACGACACAACTATGGGGTTCAAAACGGTCCAACATTATCACTTTGGCCGCCACGCCGCATCGCTTCCGGTATAAACGATCCCTATCAGCTCGCCCATGGTAATATTGAACCCTAGTATTGTGGTTGGTTATCCTCAAACACCAACACTAGTGGGTCTTCAGATCTATCCCCCCCTCCC